ACAGACAGACAGACAGACAGACAGACAGACAGACAGACAGACAGACAGACAGACAGACAGACAGACAGACAGACAGACAGACAGACAGACAGACAGACAGACAGACAGACAGACAGACAGACAGACAGACAGACAGACAGACAGACAGACAGACAGACAGACAGACAGACAGACAGACAGACAGACAGACAGACAGACAGACAGACAGACAGACAGACAGACAGACAGACAGACAGACAGACAGACAGACAGACAGACAGACAGACAGACAGACAGACAGACAGACAGACAGACAGACAGACAGACAGACAGACAGACAGACAGACAGACAGACAGACAGACAGACAGACAGACAGACAGACAGACAGACAGACAGACAGACAGACAGACAGACAGACAGACAGACAGACAGACAGACAGACAGACAGACAGACAGACAGACAGACAGACAGACAGACAGACAGACAGACAGACAGACAGACAGACAGACAGACAGACAGACAGACAGACAGACAGACAGACAGACAGACAGACAGACAGACAGACAGACAGACAGACAGACAGACAGACAGACAGACAGACAGACAGACAGACAGACAGACAGACAGACAGACAGACAGACAGACAGACAGACAGACAGACAGACAGACAGACAGACAGACAGACAGACAGACAGACAGACAGACAGACAGACAGACAGACAGACAGACAGACAGACAGACAGACAGACAGACAGACAGACAGACAAGTGAGTGATTTCAATAGCTCACCATGTGAGCTAAAAACAGCACTACCTATATAACACCCAGAGATGTGATATATTTTTATTTGTTATATAATGTTAATTATGTAGCACAGCACAAAGTTAATTTGAAAAATGAAGACTTATTATATTTTCATTAAATCCATGAGAAAGATTCATCAAGTTAGTAATTGGTGATTCTTGTCGGCTTTGTTTGTTTGCATTTGTTAATACACTGGTGATCCACTCGATTACGCTGGTTACCAAAACGGTTCGTTTCGGTAACAAAATGTCGGAACATTGAAGCTACGATTTTTCTTTTTTCCTTATTTCACATCTTGTAGGCAGAACTCTCACGACATTTTTAATACAAACGTGTATCAGTAACATATGTTTAAGAAAATTTACACATTTGCGAACAATTAGTGCAGAAGACAACAGAATCGTCGATTTAATTCCTCACTTTAGTTACAGAAACGGTATTTCGAAAAAAAAGTTAAGATCTACACGTTTAACCCAAACCGTTTCTGTAACTTAAGTGAGGCATATAACACAATGACACACATTATGAATATCAGTTATCTGTTTTTTCTTCAAGGTCAAAAAAGTAACATATTCAAAGTGAAACTTACACGCGCCTAGTGAATTAATGAATTTACTAAAAAGAATCCTGTATTGCCTTTCAAATTTTTTACTTTACTGCGCCCGCTATTCTCTTCCTTTGCCTATACGGGGTTTTGATAACAATAGAGAATTTTCGTTATAAGTTGTTTCAAAAACTTATCAGTCAAGCCAAGTAACTAAGTCAACATTCGAAAATAAAAATCTCAAAAATCGTACATCTTTGATTTCCAAAATAATTTATGAGGTAGTTATTAAGATGATAATACACATTTTAAGGTATTAATTTTGAGTACATCTCGAATCCATTCTTAACAAAGCGTTCTCAAAATAAGTATTCGAAATGTTTGAGTTCGGGATGATAAAAGTACGTTAAGATATACCGCTCCTTAACAAATTCCCTTGGGAACAAGATATAGAATCAAATGCATATTCTTCTTATTTACTCCCTGACACATGCCAATGAATGTTACATAAGTAAATATCTCAGTTTTAAATAATTTTGTAAACGTTTTCTCTACAGGTGCGATTTCGTATAATTGAAAAACAAAATAAATTGATAATATTTCCCTTAGTGAACCCATGCCAAATAGACAGTAACTGGGTCAATGTTTTGTGTTCAACCTTGTTTTCATGACTTTTTAACATGAGTCGGCAATTATGTAGGAAATTTCATTTCCAAATGTAAGCGTGTCAACTCCTGTTTTTGCACAATATTTAGCCTTTTATAATGATAGATCGCCAAAATCTGCATGTACCTCTCAATGAGGCGATATGTTTTTGAATTTATAGATGTAAGCTCTAAACTCAAACAAAAATTCAAACCAACCGCTATTATTTTGATTACACAAGACGAAATTTCCACTCCCGGGGAGCACTTTTTTTACACTTTGAAGTGGGATTCTTGAAAAATCGTTCGAATTTTCACAAAAGGTTTCACTCAATTTTATTGCTTTGTTTAAGTCTCGACTAATATCATACTCAAATCCGATACCATAATTATAAATTAAAATGAAACATTAAACTCACCAGGTTGTATGATAAACTGTTTCGAGAATTGATGATATCAGTTAACTGTGGATATTTATATAAACTGTAAGTCGGCATATATTTGACAGTTAATGTATACACATGATGTATGCATCAACGTGTGACTTAAATATCAATTCGTGACTATCATACTTGGCTTTCAAAAATTAAGTTGGAAGTTACAGTGGTAGGAGATTAACGAAAACGTCAATCACATCCAAATATCCAAACGACGTCAAGAATTAACAATACACTTTTCGTGCATTACGAACAAGGCAAGGTTCTGTGAGCCAGCAATGTGCATTCCGAAAGAAAAAATTCACAAATATCAACAAATTTCATTGAGTAGGATATTACATTCGAAATCACAACTTCAAAATATTTGTTTTAACCAAGAATTGTAAGAACTTGAAACATGTTGTCAGTTTTTCAAACCGCGTATCCTCATTTACGTTCTTTAACAAGAATGAATCCATTTGAAAACATGGATTTTCTTGATTATTCTTCAAAACTACCTTTGAAATATAAGTATGTAGGATATTACAACTGTATTTTGACACGCATTTGTTTGCTCCATATCATGAATAAATAAATGCAGTACAATCTTTCAATATTTGAAAACAAAAAGTTCATTCCGTATGTAAACAAGAAAAAATACATTTATGGTTGGTTCATAATTAAAAACGACAAATAACATACATCTTTTGAAGTAGGGGTATACAGGGACACAGTGGAAAATCAGAAATTTAGGCCATTTCCCCAAGATTGCTTCAATAATATGTAACAGAACATCAAAATTATCATTTACACGTTTGCTGATAGGTTTATTGAAAATAATTAACCAGAGGTTTACTTCAATTGTGGCACCATTCTTAGTAAATACAGGGGCGTAGCCAGCTTTCAGTCAGGGGGGGTGCGATCGCCGAAAAATTTTCAGTTTTCGGTCAGGGGGGGGGGTGCGATTTTGCCATAAGCAACACAAAAAATAAAGATTTCTTTTGAATTTTACAAAAATTGATGCAACTTCCTTCAAAATTGAGCTAGAAGTTTCAAATAAAAAGCATTTTAAAGCTCTTTTCTACCTCTATCCAATGGTCATATTTTCAAAGGTTATGGGGGGGGGGTGCGATCGCACCCATCGCACCCCCCCCCTGGCTACGCCCATGAAATATTGATGAACATACGAATATCGAATGTTGACTAAGTTACTTGACTTGACCGTTATACGTATACTTATAGTTTAAAGGGTCTTGTCGAACTAAAATCAATTCAAATTGATTTTCATAATCTGTACCAAGTGGGGCATAACTATTCCCGATATAGTCAAGCTCCATCATCAACTAGGGACTGCGAATACAATGTCCTTTGCTAGTGTCAATTATGAACACGATAAACTAAACGCTAGTTGACGGGTCCTTGTAGTGTACCATAAACAAGACCCTTTAAAGTGAATCACTACACGAACGAGTCGATCATTTCAAAGTTCTCATGAAATTATAAGGTCAATTTTTAAGTTTTTACGTATAAAAGGGCCTTTATACGCAGATTATAAACTTACAGAGTTGGATCTCCGCAAAGTATATGTGTGGACCTACTGACCAGAATGGCTTATTAAAATTAATCGGCTGAATAGGCATAGTATCCAATCAAACAGCTCGACTCATTCATTAGCTGAACTAATTCTCCCTTCGTTATTTCTACAAGGTGATTCAAAACGATCATCTACAAAAAATATATTTGAGAGTAGATAAATCTGTAAAAACCCGTGTGCTATATCAGCCTATTTGATTCTAGAAAACACATATGACACAACTAAACATGCTTTACATCAAGGGGGTACGGATGGTATGCCATTGGCCCTTTTTATTACCGTCCTAGGAGATATTTCCCGACGAATTAGGAAATTATGAAACACCTTGTTTATTGGGTTTATAAGTATAAGTATATGTATAAGTTTTTAAAAAACTTATAACGAAAATTCTCTAATATTCTACAAAGTGCTTAATGAGTCTATTTTATGTCTGTTAGAACACTAGGAATATATGTGGAATGTAGTTTGACGACGCCAAGGCTTATATAACATAGTTATTGTCTTTTATAGAGGTTATTTTGAAATGCCACATCGCATTTCTAAGAATTGAAACTGTTCCACTGGGATAATGAACACGTCAGAAATAAACAAATAAACAAATTGTTGAAAATGTAAATGTACACATGTATATTGATCATCGGGTCATTCACAATGTAATTCTAAGGAGATGAAATACGTATGGAAATAGCAATAATACACTTTTTGTTGGTGCCCTTGGAACTTTCCAATATTCCATGCCTTCTTTAATTTGGAGTAACGAATGGTGTTTATTTGAAAGGCGTATTGTTTATAACCAATTTACAGGTAAAGTATCATGATATGTTCTTTCCAGGATGGTCACTTTGTCCACCATATTGGGATTGCTTGCAATATAACATCGATTTCTGAGAACATATTCCATCAAGTTCATTTTTGTAAATCTCTCGTTCATTTTGGAATCAACCCTCAGTTATATAGATCAACTACTGCAGATGATTATAGCTCCCACTGGTTTTCAAGAGCATGAAGAATTCATTTTTATTTCTTATGTTTTGATAGTAGCTGCTGTAGTTGTGGTTGAAATATCTTGTCCTGGAACAACAAAATCAAACATTTGGAGAATATGAACATCATGAATTTCAGTTGCATATATATCCGTATGAATTTTATATAAAACAATAACTCCCAATTTCTTTTAATTTTGGAAGATCTCCTAAGAAATGTCACTCAAAATTGTTGTAAGAAAAAGTCTGATCAGCTATACACCTTAATGACTCGCAACAGAAGTCATGAACTCATAAGGATGGTATGACTCCACCAATAACTTACGTCTTGTGATACGATTGGACATGGTATGGCCCTCTGTAGAATCTCAATAGCTTTGTCAACCTTTTTCTGGTCAATCATTGCCTGCAAGAAAAAGAATTCATCACATAAATCTGACCTATGCACGGGGAATTTCTGTGGAACCAAAGCCATGTGATACCGTGTGGTAAATGTATTTTACATTATCATTACCCTGGCATCATCGGGGCATACCCACACGGTATGATGGCTACGCAAGGGGCTATATTATCTTGGATTCTGCCCGTTTTATAGGTTTCTGCCTCCTTGTCTTATTGGTATTTTGACTAAACTTGATATATGACGTGTCTGTTAGAGATTTAAAAATGGCATCTTCTGAAAATGATGATCGCCTTTTTACGATTTCTGATAGTTACAATTAGAATTCTGTACCTTTGCTAAGTAGAATGAATTTTCCTTCCATTCTGGCCATATTTCATTAGCTTTGAGGAGGTCTTCAACTCCTTCAGGTACAGTTGCTGTTGGTGGTGTCGCGAAAAATGTCGCTGCAAGTTTCCTTTCTATCCAGCTAAGGGACGCCACCTATAAAAATAAAAACAAAGCGTTCAATAAGTTACTTTTTGCTGTTTGACTGTATTAGACACATTGATCTATATATTTCATACGAGAGCAACACCACATTACAGGGTGCCAAATAAATATGTTCTCCCCCTTAATTTCAAAAGGAATAAACGTTTGTGCATAAAATTGCATCTAGTTGAGCTAGTCATCTGAAATCTTGTAGAGTTGCTCCATGAAGCCTAGCTAGTTTAATGTACTAAAGAACAATTCAGATATCATGCAGACAGAAAAGTTATGCAACATTATGTGGATGTTAAAGCTAGTGGGGTAATATATTTATTTGACACCCTGTACAAAACAAATGAATTATATCACACCACATTAAAGCATACAATTACGTTCGTGTGAAACTATACACACTAATAGGGAGGTAAAGATACACGTACGCGTTCTAAGCGAACTTGAACGTGAACTTGTGATATTACGACTCCCGCAATCACAGTCCTTCTCTCAATTGAATTTTTCTTGTACCGTTATACTCAATCGGGCAAATACATACGACGAAAGGAAGAACGGAAGTCTAGAGATGCTACACTTTCAAGGCAAGTACAAGTTAAATATGTGTAGTTACAACCTCCAAATTACCTCAAGGCACCATCGTCCCCTCAGATAATACGCCACTGGGTCATCAGGATTCAGTGAAATAGCCTTGTCAATTCGTTCCTACAAACATGAGAAACACGTATATGAAAATGAACGAAATATAGTATAATATGTTAAAACGTTTTTTAAAATATATTTGGATGATCATGGCTGGTCAGTGATCATAACCCCAACTAGAAAGGTATTTGAATCTTACTTCTCTCTATTGTTATATTAAAGATCGAATAAGAAAAAATACAGGATGGGCCAAAAAAACGTTCATATAAATTCATTTCGATATAACTTTTTTGAAAATTCATGGATTTCAATAAAATTTTCGCAGGGTATGTAGAAATCAATCTTACAATTGTCCTGAAGTGGCATAAATGAATCTCTAGGATATTGAGAAATACAAAAGGTAAAGGTAAACAGACACCAGGGGTCTATTTCAAAATGGACATTTTTATTCATATTGAAAGGGACAATGTTTTTTATATGCTTTCGCATTGATAACGACACGTTTATACTTATTCACGCTTTATACTATACACGATGAGAAAAAATTTTGGCAGCGGTGGGATTCGAGCCACGCCTCCGAAGAGACTGGTGCCTTAAACCAGCGCCTTAGACCGCTCGGCCACGCTACCTTGACACGATGGATGTAATAAACACTATGATTATTAAAGGCAAGTTTGTTATGATAAATTAACTATTTTTGGCAAACCCCCTTCACTAACAAGAGTATAGTATCTACTGTCATGGATATGAGTTAAACTAGAACCTATAAATAGCTCAACTGGCGGAGTCTCCACAAATGGGAGGGCATGTCACTTATTTTTGTCTTACTTCATGTTAATTTCCAATTTATAACTCATAACTTATATCATGAGCTCTTAAGAGGAAGCCCATGACAAAATCGCATGGAATTTAAGCCATCTGAAAATGTGTGATGTAATTTTTTTTATTTGTCTGTGATATATTGAAAGTAATACACTTTGCATTCGTTTGAACCCCCGCCTCCGAAGAGACTGGTGCCTTAAACCAGCGCCTTAGACCGCTCGGCCACGCTACCTGAGAGATGTTGGGTAAACACTATGATTTGTAAAGGCAAGTATGTTATGATAAAAAGTAGACTAACTATTTTTGGCAAACCCCCTTCACTAACAAGAGTATAGTATCTACTGTCATGGATATGAGTTAAACTAGAACATGTAAATAGCTCAACTGGCGGAGTCTCCACAAATGGGAGGGCATGTCATTTATTTTTGTCTTACTTCATGTTAATTTCCAATTTATAACTCATAACTTATATCATGAGCTCTCAAGAGGAAGCCCATGAAAAATCGCATGAGATTTAAGCCATCCGGTCGCAGATTCTAAACTTAACAAAATCCTTATAAAAATCGCTCAGAACTATTATAATTGTGATTTGCAGTCATCTTATTAAATTAGATAAAACCTTTGAACTGGCTTTAGAACTTTGAACACACACTACATTGAAGATTTTCATCTCTGTGTATAGGGCACTGGTTTTAGGCACAATTCCATTCTCAAAACAAGCAGCTTTTATCATATTGCATCATTATATATGCAATGATCTAAATCAACTTTAGTCCCATGTGAATTTTTTGTACTAAAGACTGGGTCAGAGTCCTTGGATGGTTACTAGGCAGTCAAAATGTTCAGATGAGTGAATTAGTTGATTAAAGTAGATAAAAATTTATGGCAGCGGTGGGATTCGAACCCACGCCTCAATGAGACTGGTGCCTAAAACCAGCGCCTTAGACCGCTCGGCCACGCTACCTGTTTAGGTATGGTTCCCGCTTGTGTTTATTTTTTCAACAGAGAGATGAATCATAGTGACATATATTATAATTATAAGCATTGATTGAAAGCTTTTCTCTTTTATAAATAGTGTAACTAACATTACACCAAGAGGCACAAAATATATTTCTATTGTTATATTTTCCTTTTTTTGTCAGATATATTGTTAATCATGCAGCAAAATACAAAGTAAATTCAAAAATTAAAACTGCATTTATTTTCATTAAATCCATCAATTTAATTTTGATAGCTAGCAGCAGGTGATTGCTGTCGCTGTTGTTTGCATTTGTTAATAAATATACGAAAATCATAATCATTTATCATTGTATTAAAAAGTAACTTTCATAATACATTTGATCAATTTCCTGTCAACTTCACTGTCAACGTGTGTATTTGGAAGCTGAACCCATGCCTCCGAAGATTAAGGATATACCAGTGTAACCTCCGAAAAAATCGACCATTTTCAATCTCAACGAAACTAGGTTTTTATTATAGACCTAGATGTAGCGATTCGAAAGATTTAATAAAAAAGGTAGGTCAACGGATAAGTTTTTTCATGAGAAGCTTCTGAAAATAGGTGTGACGTTATCATCATTTGAACATTTGAGGCGCCATTGATTCTAAAGCAAAAAAACATATTTTCCTATATTTCGTCGATAAAATGATGATTTAGGGAGCATTGACGATTTTTTTCGAGCCCAGATAAACTTCCTTTATACATAATTACATTGGTTCGAATATTGGTACACTCAGGACATTTTTTCTTATTTTTTTCACTTAAAGTGTTACCCCTACCCCAACAATATTTGTGAATTTTTGTAACGTTTTTCCAGTAAAAACATATCTTTTTCATTTTCTCATTTTGACACGTTTTGAATCGAAAATTACGCAAATTTCCAATGGATTGTGGTATTTTTTTTATTTGCTTATTCTAAAAAAGGTGTTCTCATGTTTATTTTGATATAAAAAAAGCAAAGGGTCAACGGTCTGTATTACGCTTGAAAATGCCGTTGAAGATTGGTGTGCTTTAACAATGATACAAAAGCCATTGGTCAATTCGCGTCATAATTTAACTAAATATATGACGTCTTTCTCAAGAATTAACAAAATCGACTGCTCACAAAAACATAAACTAGCTAAGTCCACATGATAAACATCATTCCAAAATATTATAAATTATGAATAAATTGAGGGCTAGATGCCCCAGTAAGACATTCATTCAATAAACGATACTTTAAAATGGCTAATAATAGCCATATTTGATTCGATTTCTAATATGCTAATATTTCTGTTCATTTTTCGGGAAAGGATAACGTTACACTTGAGGTTAACAATTGTGAAAACTCAACATGTCCTGTCTTAATGAACTGCCTTCACAAGTATAACCTCACAGATCAGGCATGAATGATTTCACTCCATACGTGATATATAGCATGCGTGCTTTTTGATGATTCTCGGGTGGGGTTGTACATTCCCTGTGCATCCCTCACCCCGAGGTCCCCACTCATGTAAAGCTGTCGGATTTGAGCAAGATACGTCTACTGAATGCAGTACACGAATAATGTGTTTTTGTGAACGGCTATACGTTTTTCGCATTGTATCCGGCATGTCCGATCATGGTCGTTAATACTCACTGGGAAAATATTTTTAACTGGTAACTATAATTTTAAAAAATATAGAATAATAACATAAATTGAACAAGGGTTTGAATGGCTTGTTTGACATGTTTGATGGTATTTGTTTTGACAGAAAGGAAAAACGAAACAAGGTAATGATTTCAATAGAAATACATATAAATGAATGTTCATGCACGGACTTCAAGTGTCCGTGGTTCATTTAATAAGTGTATACATGAATTATAGAAATTCCAAAATAGAATACTGTATTTTACAGTTGCCTTTTGATATAAATACCCCTGGTCAATACATATGCTATAGACTATAACTTAATGAAAACTCAGACTGTAGCGAAATAAGAAGCAAGTTACAAATTAGATTTGTCGTGTTTGTAAAACATGGGCAGTGGGCACATACACATATACTGCTGGGATAAACGAAAGAAACGGACACGAAACTGGAATGAAACAAGAATATACAAAATATTACTGAATTATTTGGAAGAATTGATGACGTATAGTTCATTTGTTTGTTTATTTGTTGATGGGGTAATATGTCACTGACGTCACAGATAATGGTATCATATTCCGAGAACCCATTAACAAAAGTGTTATATGACGTCATGATAAAGCAACATTAAAAATGAGAATCTCTTAGTTGCTATGGATTACTATGTCGTAAAGCGTCATATATCGTCATTCTGCGTCCTTGATATTTAATAAAGAACACTTGTCAAACGTGAAGTTAACAAACCAGCTTTTCATAGATGTGTTAATTTTCTATTTCTGTAATTTAAAAATATATCACCATTGTCGTAAGGGTTACACTGGTATATCCTTAAAGCAGTGCCCGAGACCGCTCGGCCACGCTTCTCTCGCACATACGTGATTTTTTTCAAAAAATCGAATTAGGACAATCATGATAGTTTAACGTTTAGCAACGAGAGCATGACTTACTAACAAGGTATTTTGATCGAACCTCTTTCTATTGTTATATCAAAAAAAACACAATAACAACACACAGACATAAAAAAAAGAGGTTGAATGTGTCATATAAAACTGTGATATATTGAAAGTAACAATGCATTGATTACGACACGTTGGAGTAAACATGACGATTAAAAACTATTAGCAGCGGTGGGATTCGAACACGCCTCCGAAGAGACTGGTGCATTAAACCAGCGCCTTAGACCGCTCGGCCACGCTACCTTCCATACTAACGATGAACAGACACTATGATTAGTAAAGGCACCCTATTTTTGGCAAACAACCTTCGCTCACATTCGTACCTTGAATTAGTTTATTTAAAGTTGATAAAATTGATAAAAATTAATGGCAAGTGGGATTCGAACCCATGCCTCAATGAGACTGGTGCCTAAAACCAGCGCCTTAGACCGCTCGGCCACGCTACCTGCTACGTGTGATCGCTTGTGTTTATTTTTTCAACAGATGAATCATAGTGACATGATTATATCAATACGCATTGTATTGAAAAGCTCCTTTTCATTTCTCTTTTACATATAGTGTAGCTTACATTACACCCAGAGGCACACAATATATTTCTATTGTTATATTTTCCTTTTTTGTCTGATATATTGTTCATCATGTAGCAAAATACAAAGTAAGTTCAGAAATTAAGACTGCATTTATTTTCATTAAGTTAATTTTGAAATCGGTTAAACAGTGACATCGTACATTTAAAGGGTATAACGGTATATTTTGTCACTGCACCTTATCGATGGTTAGACGTGTGAACATGTTGGACATGTCAAGTCTTTGTGAATACGATACGTTGAAGTAAACATGACGATTAAAAACTATTGGCAGCGGTGGGATTCGAACCCACGCCTCCGAAGAGACTGGTGCCTTAAACCAGCGCCTTAGACCGCTCGGCCACGCTACCTTCCATACTGACGATGAATAAACACTATGATTCGTAAAGGCAATAAGACAACCTATTTTTGGCAAACATCTTTCGCTCACATTCGTACCTTGGACATGTCAAGTCTTTGGGTATATGATTTAGAACAAATTACTGCTCAACTGGCAGGACCTCCCCTAGTGGTAGGGCATGTCACTTATTTTTCTTCCTTCCTTCATGTTAATTTCCAATTCTAATAACTTATATTGGTACAATATCGCATGAAATTTAAAGCCATCTGGTCACAGAAACTAAAGATCATGAATTCCTTGAAGAACAAAAACTCAAGAATCGCTCAGAACTATAACTAATTGTGATTTGCAATCATCTTTTTTTAGAATTTAAATAAACAGATTAAATGTATTAATAAATTAATTTTGCGATATATATTTCAAAACATAATGGTTTAAGTCTATGTCTATGTCACCTGTACGTTTTATTTGTATTTGTAAGATTAAACCTTTAGAACTTTGAACAAACACTTCGTTGAAGATAACCTTTTCATCTCTACGTTAGTATCCATTCTCAAAACATAAGACATCGATGTAAGAATTAAGTTGAGCTTTTATGATATTGCATACGCATTATTGTAAATCAAGTGTTTGACGCTCACAGAACTCGTGTAACCTCATCAAATCTCATGTCACATGTACATTTTGTACTAAGGCGGAGTTAGTTTATAATGTCTGGCACGTTGATACCTTGAATGGTTCATGGGCAGTTTGATTTGAAGACTGAAGCCAAAATCGAAGTACCAAAATATTTAGATGAATGCTGCATATCGATTCGAAATAGAATGAAGAACTATTGTTGTAACATATTATCTTGCAATAAAGAAAAAACGTTGATAAAAATAATGGCAGCGGTGGGATTCGAACCCACGCCTCAATGAGACTGGTGCCTAAAACCAGCGCCTTAGACCGCTCGGCCACGCTACCTCTTGGAACGCAGAAATTCTTTTGCTTATTTGAATGAAAAGGATGAATCATCGTGCTAATTGATAAGCACAGCGATTGATATTTGAGATACTTTACACTTTATAAAAAATAGCACTACCTATATAACACCCAGAGAAGTGAGATATTTTTAATTGTTATATAATGTTAATGTTAAAAATATTGAAAAATGAAGACTTATTATATTTTCATTAAATCCATGAGAAAGATTCATCAAGTCATTCATGAAGTTAGTAATTAGTAACAGCAGGTGATTGTTGTCGGCTTTGTTTATTTGCGTTAATAGATATGTTAAATCATTGCCATCTATCATTGTATCAAAAAGTAACTTTCACCATACACTTCATACACTGTCAAAGGCATCGTGTTTTTAAAGTATTTTGGCAGCTGCCGATCATTCGAACCCATGCCTCCTAAAGCATTGCCGAAAACCGGACACACTTCCTCCCATACATACATACCTAATATTTATTAAAATTCGAATCAAGGACAAGTGATCACGTTACCTGAACGTTTTAAACATTTAGCACTTTTTGTGGTGTTGGGTAATCTATGTATTTCGTGGGATACAAGTCCTAAATATCTAGACTTACTTATTGAAATAATTAATGATGGAATGTGTTTGAATATGAATGTTATTTAAACATTTAATTAGATATTGCTTTAAAAAATCATAAGATGGTTAAAATTAATTGCGGCATTTTGTATTTCGATTGGTAAGAAAGCAGTCAATATGCATGTTTTGTTTCGGAAAGCAGTCAACGGTCAATATGCATATTAAGTTTCAGGCGGCATGGCAGATGGGTGTGAAAAAAGATAATTTACAACTGCTATACTAGGGAAAATCAGAGAACTCATCGAGCATATGAACTAACCTTAATGACGAAACTCTTTTCTATTTTTTCCTTCATTCCCATGGTTTCCGATAGAGCAGATAGAATTGTGGCACACCTGCAAAGTTAATGAACAATCTTGGAATGTACCACCGATTCATGTACTTGAGTACAGAAGTAGTTTGTATAGACGTCAATAACCTTATTCATTGTTTCGTAGCATTTCAGGAAAATAGGACACGTGATGAGTAACAGTTCCAGTGATCTGGTCTACACAAGTAATACTTTAATCAAAAAAATGTCATTCGCCTACCATTTGTTTACCCTGGCGTCTTCTGGTTTAAGTTCAAACGCCCTTTGCATTACTGCGTTAGCCTCGTCCAAAGTAGACTTGTGCTTCGACTTGTTCCCTTCTACTAAATGAACTAGAGCTACCGAATGAATGAAACAAGCATATCTCCAAAGGAAATTGGCGTCGTCCTTGTACTGAAATGTAAAAGTTACAACGTTTTAGTACCCAGTAGAATGCCCGGGCCAGAATGACCATTCAAAATGAACAATAGTTCTATGGCTAGGTCTAATGTGTGACTGGATCTAGTGTCTTACATTGTCTTTATCTTTTGTCATGATGTCATAAACATCTTGTGTCTGTTTTGGCGTTCCAGCCCAGGTGATGTCGTCAAGTTTGTTTGAAGTAAGAAGGTCCTCTAAAGATGGTGGCCATTCGCCATATGACTCCCCATCCCTATAAATATACAATTGACATCAATTAAAACTACACCGACATAAAATATGATGTAAGCAGATAAGAATATGGTACCAGAAAACGTTAGGAAATATGGAAGAGTAGACACAGGCATGGGAAAACAGTAGCAGTCCCCGATATCCAATTAATGATCCAAATTACAAAGAAACAAGGTCTTAAGCACGTCTTAACTCCACCCAAAATCCAGGAATCGTGTTCACAATCCACAGCCACAAGACAATGATTGAGACATTTCTTTAATACATCAATATAAGGTTCAAGAATATATTTCATGGTCATCATTTCAATTTATTAAATTGTCTTTGAAATAATATGTTCATGACTTCAGAAGATTGTCCATGTTGTCTTAAATCCGACAATGGCTTAGCCTTTCAATACTTACGGGATTTTTGTGAAGTTCATTACACCAATAGCATCACCACACGTGTGAGTCTGAAACAATAAAACATCACCCGTTTCAATAAAGTGTATTTAAACAAACCATTTGGAAACTTCAAAATCAAGCATAAACGCTGGTAACTCCAACACAAACACTTTATTGTCTGGGTACCCAAATATGATGCTTCATCATGAAATATCATTTGATATTCATGTACTTTTCCAATATTTAAATGTTTATTTTCATTTCTCATGTTATAGGCTCTTATCTTCAGAGTAATATCATTTATGTTATAATATTTATTGTACCGCTCTTAATGTGTTTCCATCTATTGGTTCTCTGATAGTTGTGCAGTCAAAATCGCCTCTTTGGCTCATCTTTAAGTTGTCACCTTCAATCGAATAGACAATCTGGAAAAGTATGAGTACAAAAAGCCATTTATTTGACAGTTGAAGATATAGTAAGTTAGTAGTCTTGGTATATTTTGGTAAATGAAGAGATATGTGGTCTTCATGACTTACGTGAATTTGACGACCATCAACTGTCGTTTCTTCGAATTCCTTTCCAAGTTGAAATGTTGAAGTTGAACGTGTCCCAAATTTAGACACTTCTTTGATGGTCCATTTGTTGCCATCTTTGGATATGAAGTGAGCGACTTCGGTGTCACTAAGGATGTTATTTCGGAAATCTTTTGACACGCCTAAAAATATATAAACGAGACTAAATAACTAAAATTGAATATAACCATTTGGATCAAAATGTTGAAAGGCTATGATGTTTGTCTTTTCATCATCATGACCAAACGCTCTACCAACGGGTCACTATGCCCAAACCCTCTACAGTGGGTCACGATACTTAAGTGCACTACCAATGGGTAACCTGGTCGATATATAGGCCTATACTTTAAAGTTGATAGACAATAATACAAGATAATCTATGATGAAAACAAGAGCATATATTGCATCTAGCCTACTAAGCTGTTACATACCTATTTTGAGGAGAAATTCCTCCATATTATTCAGACTCACGAGCCTCCATCGTCCTTCTACAGCCATGTTCCTGTGCCTAGGACGTACGAACTCTTACCAGATTTACTCCCTTTCACTCTATCACTGGACAAGCTGTCGATCAGCTGCTGTTACAGAACCGGGAAATTCGAAGACAACGGCGTTTAATATTATCACCTAACCACTTTCATTATTGGCTACAGCTCTCCCTTGTTGTGGATTTTGCCGATAGTACAATCCTGAAATACCAAAACAATATTGAATGTAGAGGATTGACGATCATCCAAGTCTTACATAGGCCAAACTTCAAGTTCAGCCTCTGTTCTTAAGATTACAACTGTATTCGTTATTTGTGTATAATATTCTATCTACAAAACACTTAACATCCAAAACTAATCAATGGTGTACTATATGTTGTAATTCACAGAGAAAATACTACAATTTACAAAAGTCCTCATTCATTTCACTTTGGGACTATTAGTTTATCTTATATTGTATAACTTTGTCGGTACACCCATTTTAGTTTACGTGTAAGATAAGGTCTAGGCCCGAGGACATGGAAGGCCCATGGAAATAATGTTTTTTAAACCAGGTCGAAATTCGAGAGACTTTGCATTAGTTCAGCAGACTAACGGCGAATATGTATTAATCAGTGTAGCCCTTGCGAGTACCCAGCGCGGATCGGTCCATCAAAGCAACAATTGCAAAATGAAAACCGTGGGTCATACTGAGTTTAAACTTTAAAGCCTAGAAGATGACTGTTAAGAACAAGACGGGACTATTAGAGTTTGCCCCCTCCGTGTTTTCAGAAGTTAGTCTTGCTATATTTTTCAAGTTTGCAGGGTGTCGGGTTGAAGTTCGGAACGATGAGGTCATGTTGATAAACATTATTGTGGTAATCGTTATCATAACCTTTGAATCATATTAACAGCTCAAACTCGTGATCGGCTACCCTTTTCATTCGTTCGACTTAACTTCTTAAAAGAGAGCTTCGTCCTTTGTATTCGTTCGATTTCGCTTCTTAAAAGAGAGCTAGTTTTTTCCTTTGCATCGTCCCGCATTAGGTTCCTGACCTGCCAACCTATCGTTTCTAGAGAACGTCCATGCCTATATTTACAAACAATGAAAATTACGTATTTGTGATAAAATTGATTTGTATTTGTAATATTGATAACTGGACAAAATACCAGACTCTGGTCAGATAAATGTACATGAATCAAGCTTTATTATACCTAAATAGTCTACTTCAATACCCGTACGTATACTGCAGCTTCCTGTTAATTGAATACTATGCTGACAATTTCGATTTCGATACATAGTAGAATTCTTTCTGAAGAATTTCATGCATGTTTTAGTTCCAAACGAGCTTGTTTAAAATATATATCAAAAATCTGCTATAGAACTATCAATGGCATATTACATGCTGCGGTGCTTTTACACTAAAATGGTTTCTTGCGAGTTCATGTTTGTTCAATTCCTCAATGAGTAAAGCATTTTTCACACATTTGACACAAAATGAACACTCACCAGAATGTACCAGTACATGTTTATTCAAATTACTCTCATTATTAAAACCATACCTGCCAACCTACCGTATTTTTACGGGAATATACCGTAAAATTTTCGTTTTTCCCTAAAAAATGACAAACTACCGTAAAAATTAACAATTTTTTCCGTAAAAACTACCGTAAAAAATCTACCGTAATTTTACCGAAATCTATCGTAAAATATTTCATTATGATTCGATTTTTTCTATAAAAACGGCCGTAAAATATGCCGTAAATATTTGGAAATCGACCGTATTTCTGCTAAAATTAACAACTATTCTTGTTCAAACTACCGTAAAATCTACCATTATAATTTGGAAATTCTGAAAAATTGTAGTCTTCCCGTATTGCCCCTGTAATATTCCATTACCAACCCGAAAATAAATAGGTGTCGGCAGGTCTTTGACAGTGGTTATTGCGTACTTATATAAGTGAGCTGGCATGTAATCAGTCAACACACTGGGGAGTATCGTGATGCAAAAGAAGTGTTTTTGCATCAACTACCACAGGTTCTACTGTAGTTATAAAAACACTGAAGTGTTCAAATTGTTAGTCTGTTAATGAAAAAGTTCCATGAATGCTGTGTTAGAAAAAAATACTTTATCCTTTATTATTAAGTGTGTCAAAATTTGCGCAAAATAGTTTTTTAAGATCTACCGCAAAAACTACCGCATTTTTTCAAAATCTTCTGTAAAAACTATCGCATTTTATAAATCTACCGTAAAACTACCGCATTTTTAAAAATCTTCCGCAAAACTAGTTTTTTTCAAAAACCTACCGCAAAAACTACCGCATTTTTTCAAAATCTACCGTAAAACTACCGCATTTTTCAAAATCTTCCGCAAAAATACCGCAATTCACAAAAATCTACCGCAAATTTTAGGTCTTAGGTTGGCAGGTATCTGCCCTTACCGACCTCTTTTTACAACTCAATATCCATCCTCTCTTTAACGATAGCACCCATATTTTTGGTCACATTCAAGTTAGCAGTGTTTCCAGGATACTGATTTTAACTAATTTTGGCCAAACACTAAATTTTGAAATGCCTGTAACTTTTTCCCATTTCTGAGTTGAACGATGATACTTGGCAAATCAATGTAACTTTGGATGGGCTTTAAAATGATATATGACACATACTATGGGAACATTGGTGTATGTCTGCCTAGGGGGGGGGCATACTTTCGGGACACCCTGTATATGAAGTTTTTCATGCTCCTACAAGGACTTGTTCATTACATATTTTTAACCTTAATGATTTCACTCTGGTTAGTATCAAGCTAAGGTAACGGCCGTAACCTTCGCATCTAAGATGGCGGGTCACCGGGGTGATAATTGTCGATTTCGTTATTTTCATTTTCATTGAAATAAACCACTTTAAAGTTGACATAATGCTTTGATACTTGAACTATATCAGGCTTATATGATTTGGAAACTCTGCAGTATGATCATATGTTCATATATCATGCGTAGGCCCCACAGTTCAACGATATCTACCACCGCTTAATTAAAAGAGGAACTTAAGTAAAAACATTTATTAAAACATTTCACACTTAAAATGTCTCTCTCCTCTCCAGTATGTATAAATAAGTTTATGCCTACTTGATTGACTATTTTGTTGAAAGTACCTCGCACAAATTTTACACTGAAATATTTTCTCAATAGTGTGTATTTGTAAATATCTATTGAAACTATTAACATTTTTTAATAATTTACACTATAACGGTTTCTCACTAGTAGTAACAAAGTAGTTACTTTTCATGCCTTTAATATTCCTACAATGAGTAAAGTATTTCTAACAATTTTTAAACTTGAATGGTTTCCAACCAAAATGTACCACGACATCTTTATTCTTTACTCTTAAGTTCAAAACATTATAAAACATTTTCAACTTAACTAAATTGAATTTTAATTGGTTCTCATTAATATTCTCACCAGTATGTACTCATGCCTCAATATCTAAACTTCACGTTTTAACTGCTTCTCATAAGTTCAATGCTTATCTAAATTACTCTTATTAATTTTCTCACCAGTATGTACTCATGTATCAATATCTAAACTTCACATTTTAATTGCTTCTCATAAGTACAATGCTTATTTAAATTACTCTTATTAATTTCACATCTTACACTTAAATGATTTCTCACCAGTATGTACTCATGTATCAATATCTAAACTTCATATTTTAATTGCTTTTCATAAGTACAATGATTATTTAAATTACTCTTATTAATCACACATTTTACACTTAAATGATTTCTCACCAGTATGTACTCATGCTTCAATATCTAAACTTCACATTTTAATTGCTTCTCATAAGTACAATGCTTATTTAAATTACTCTTATTAATCACACATTTTACACTTAAATGATTTCTCACCAGTATGTACTCATGCTTCAATATCTTAACTTAACATTTTAATTGCTTCTCATAAGTACAATGCTTATTTAAATTACTCTTATTAATTACACATTTTACACTTAAATGATTTCTCACCAGTATGTACTCATGCTTCAATATCTAAACTTCACATTTTAATTGCTTCTCGTAAGTACAATGCTTATTTAAATGACTCTAATCAATTTTCTCACCAGTATGTACATGTATCAATATCTAAACTTCACATCTTAATTGCTTCTCATTAGTACAATGCTTATTTAAATTACTCTTATTAATCACACAATTTACACTTAAATGATTTCTCACCAGTATATACTCATGCTTCAATATCTAAACTTCACATTTTAATTGCTTCTCATAATTACAATGCTTATTTAAATTACCCTTATTAATTTCACATTTTACACTTAAATGATTTCTCACCAGTATGTACTCATGTATCAATATCTAAACTTCACATTTCAATTGCTTCTCATAAGTACAATGCTTATTTAAATTACACTTATTAATTTCACATTTTACACTTAAAGTGTCTCACATATTCGATCAAAAATTGCCATGCAAACATGTTAGTCTACTTTACTGGCCCCCCTTGCTGTAACAAGGAACACAAAACACATTAAAACGTAAACATAAACCAATTAGTCACTTCACTATGCAAGTGAGGGGTGTTACGCTGTTAGCATGGACTAACACAATATCAGTGGTCATACTGTGTCAACTTAGTAACCCTTGCATATCGTGCTCACTCAAGTATTGAATAATTTTTTATGATCTAAATGTTTGTGGTTTATAAAATAATGTGATATATTTTAGTTAGAAATACATTAATTAATATATTCATTCTGTACTTCATGTGTACTGTTATTTTTAGTGCTGTATTTATCGATATAATTTCACGTATTAAAATCATATTTCCCAGCAATGACTTCAAATTCGGAACCACACCCATATCACATTTTCTTCAGTAACTCCAAACATGTGTAAACATTGACCATGTGCATATAAATTCAGATTTCACGAGCTCTTTCCTATTCGAGTACCTCATACACCCCTGCATGGATTTGAGTTGGATTCGCCTTTTATACGTGAGCCGACACACTCGCAAACGCTGATTGGATAAAGATTGCGAGAATCTTTAAATGATTTCTCACCAGTATGTACTCATGTATCAATATCTAAACTTCACATTTTAATTGCTTCTCATAAGTACAATGCTTATTTAAATTACTCTTGTTAATTTCACATTTTACACTTAAATGATTTCTCACCAGTATGTACTCATGTATCAAT